CTATAAAGGAGGATATGTGTTCAAAACTTTACGTTGATCCATTAAGTATTTTATAATTCCTTTAGTTACTACAGTTAATTAAATATTATATCATTAGTTAAAGTTTAGAGCACTCATTGAAGCTTTAAAGCTACGCCGTGAACTGGGTGTAAACCACATGGACATCGAGTGTGACTCATCATTGGTGGTATCATGGATTTCTTCTTTGAAGTGCTCTTTGTGGTATCTATGGGGACTTCTGGGATAATCTTTTGAATTTATTACATCAATTTGATTATTAGGTGGTACATAAATGGAGAGAGGGGAACCAAGTGGCAGATTCTTTAACTGGAGTGGGAGCTAAAGGCCTGTCGAAACGTTTTAATACTTGGATAGAGCTGCCAAGACTTGCTTGAGGGTTACTTCGTATGGATATGATGGGGTGACTTATTGGAGGAAGTGAGATGTGAATTGAGGTTAGGGTAGTGGTGTTTTTTAAGATTGTTGATGATTTAGCTCGTATGCTTTCCTATTTGTTTGGTATAGTATTGTTGTTCGAGTCTGTTAGCACTGTATTCTTCCGCCACAAGTGAGGGTTTTTTTAATAAAGTATTTTTTGGAAAAAAAAAAAAAGTTCAGTAACCCAATTGCAATCCAGATGAAAAGTTCAATGATCCGATTGCAATTAAAGTAAAAGTTCAGTGACCTGATTACCTCTTGGTAGTAACCCAATTGCAAATATGATGAAAGTTCAACGACCTCTAATGTTATTAATTTGTTGATCGAGTTGGACAACTTGGCATTTCTTTAGCTTTAACGGAGATGTCAGAGAACTCTGTAGGCACGTTAACGAAATCTAAAATAGCGACATGATTGTTTATAAATTAAAGTTTAGCGACTTGATTGCTCTAAATTGAATTTCAATAAATCAATTACAACTAGAGTGAAAGTTCACTGACCTCCATTGTAAATAACCTGAACTTCATAGATCATTTCCTCCTTTTTTGAAGAAATATTATTTATAACTAGTAGATCTATGTAACATTTGTTAGCTTTTTCTTGTCGTGTTTAAATTGAAATCTTACTCTACCATTGAATTTGAAGACCAATTTATGTTAGTCATTTGCTCTACTTCGATGACGTAACAGTGATTTCTTAACAACCCAAAAAGGAGTTCATTGACTATAAAGCAACTTATATATAGCTTGTTCGGTAGTGATTATGAAAATTGATTTTTTTATCGTTAGAGAAAAGTGAGCCCACATGTGAGTAAAGAATTAAAAAATGATGGATGAAATAGTGAAATAACGATCAAAAAATTAAATTTTTGGATGAAAAACAGCTATCATACGAGGGCTTAAAATATTTGAATAAAAGTATATTAAAATGTTAGCAAAAAAAGTTAATAAACTTGAGCCAATGTATGCTAAGTAGAATCAATCGAGAGTTTGAATAATTTATTTGATTTTGATTATTTAAAACTAATTCAAGAAGTTGTCAACATTTATTTTGAACTCTCCTATCAGTCAAAGCAGTTCTTACCGCATTAAAGTGGGGGCCAAAGTGTAGTCAGATTTGGTAGGTTTCAGGTTCATGCATCTTCCCCCTTTGGCCTTTTTCTTCCTATCAAGAAAGCAAGTTTTATATCATATCAATTAATTAACTCCCAAAAAAATCTCCTTAAAGTGAAGGGTCCCAATAAATTCACAGGGGATTTCATAGGTCTTACCGATTTTCCGTAACATTTGATAGTGAAGTTTTCTGAGGATTATTGAAGAGCATTTCATCTGTTACAGGTTCTAATTCTTTTATTATTTCTTGAACTTTTATATTTTTAATATGCTTGATGTTTGATCGATTAATGCATTTTTTTTAATATACATATATGTGTTTTTGTTTATTTTTGAAGGAAATTTTACCAAATCGTTTGCTTCTATTGGCTGTGAATTGTCAAGATCGCACTTTTTATCTATTTGGTGTATTTCTTTTCATTTTGTTGTGGGTATTGAGTATTCTTGTCGATTCGATTTGGTTGTGCACAGATTCCAATGGGCTTCTTTTATGATATACTGATAATTTTCTGTTATATATGTACATACTTGTTCTTGAGGAATATTTATCCAGATTTATTCAAATTTAACAGTATGAATTGGTTACTCATGGGATTATAATTTTATATTTCAGAAGCAATATCTGGATAATTTTGGCAGTAATCTGCTGTCAACTTATTTTTGAAAGTATGCTCCATCTGTGAAAAGTTAGTTTGTGTTCTAGAAATGAAATGTGGTGATGTTTGGCTAATCTTAGAAGTTCACCAACAAGAAATAAGTTTCCTATATGTTTGGCTAATCTTGGAACTTGTTTTAACATTAAGACGAGTTACTTTCAAAATGAGTAACTTTTTTGCCTAAGGAAAAAGTAATTTATTCAAACATGCTTGGAGATTGTTCAAAAATTGAAGTTGAAAATATTGTAAAATCTTATAGTCAGTAAGTTTAGTAATACTAATATTCTGCTGGATCATGGTAGTGTCGGAAATTTCGTGGTCTACATTGTCTTTTGATGATGACAGAAAACAAATTTATTGGTTGGATGGATACATGGAATAGTTATGATTGAGAAAGAAGAAAAGAAAAAAAGAAGGAAACAAAATCATTTAATCTCATGCTATGCAGTTGCAGTTTTGTCGGGAGTTGGGGAGGATAGGCGTTGAAGAAAATAAGAGGTTATTGTTGTAGAAGTGTTTCTGATAGTTGTCTGAAGAAATGAAGATGAGGTGTATTGGTACGATAGATTTAATGGCTTAGAATACTCAGTGTTCCTTTGTTAAGATGGTTACTGAACATTAACAAGCCCAACCTCTTGTAAACAAAACATTTGGATAATGTATGGCGTATCACATATTAAAAGTTTTCAAATACTGGTTTTATTCTCACAACAAAACTAAAAAAGTAACATTGTTTCGTTATTGTTTGTTAGGAAGATTTTCTTTGCTTGGATGTCATGTCCTAAATTCATTTTAACTTTTCCTCTTATGAAGTAAAAGTACTAGTGGAGCTAGAGATGTCGGGATTCATGGTCATATAAATGTTGGAGAATAATGTTCCTTTAGTGATATTGTTATATGATCAGATGTTTTTATGCCTCGCTTCCATGTTTTTTTGCACTTCTTCCATATTGTTTAACTGATGCTACCTCGGGTATCCAAATTTTTCTGTTGCACAACCTTGACATGCTTTATACCACCAATTGCACTGTGCCTTTCCTTTTACTCTGTATTTCCCCTTTTTACCCCTAATTCATTTTTTTTCCTCGCTTTATATATAATTTTGCCTTGCAGGTATATTCTTTCATTTAAGTTGCAATAAAATTGACATGCATGTATTCATCCTTATAGTCGGTTGCCTTGGATAATGTTCTTCAAGGAGAATATCATTAGGACAGCAGGATTGTACATGGCCATTTGCCTTCAGGATAACCTTCTATGATGGAGCTTAATCGTAATTACGGAGTTGAAAACGAACTTACTGTTGGAAATATTCAACATGAATTTTGGCCATTGGATGAAATAGATCCAAAGAAAGCAAAGTTCCCTTGTTGCGTTATTTGGACACCTCTACCTGTAGTATCATGGTTGGCACCTTTCATTGGACATGTTGGCATATGTCGGGAAGACGGTACCATTATAGATTTTTCGGGATCCAACCTTGTTAACATTGATGATTTTGCATTTGGTTCTGTTGCCAGATACATCCAACTGGACCGGAAGCAGGTATGCCTTGATGACTTCTCTCAGCTGTCTTGGCTGCTCTTCTTTTCCTCTATCTGTGAACGGATTAAAAACTCTTTTAGTGGCACATAACTTATATCATTATTCACTTTGGTAGCAGAAATTTTAATCTTTTTCTTTTTCTTTTTTTGAAGTTTGGTACTCTGTTTTACTAAATTAAAGGAAAATGCTGATGTGACTAATAGAAATGATGACATGGCATGTAAAATCTGTTATTGAATTATTTATATTTTCCAACTTGGAAATATTGTATATTGTTGGATAAGTTGTACTTTGAAATGTGCTTTTATAAATAATGGAAAAGAAAAAGAAAGCACGACTTGTCCAACGAGGCGCATTTTTTGTCTAGTTGGGTGATAAAAGTAATGTACCAACTATTGTTTCATGCCATATCTTCATTTCCATTAATTGAGTAGACGGAGTGCCTAAATGAACCAAAAATGAAAAGGTTCAGTGACTGAAATGTGATGACGTCATACATGACTAACCGTGCTTTTAACGATTGGTGAACACGTATGTGAGAACGGGAGTGGTCCCCGGGGCAGGGGTTGCCTGTATTTGCATGGACAAGCAAGAAATGCTCTCACAAAATTATCATCCATTCTCCGAATCTCACTTCTCTGTCGAATGAGCATAAATATGTCGTCTTTGCAACTCAATGTGCTCATGTCTCCATGCAATCGGACTAGATAAAGTTTATATAATTTT